GCTAAAATTTTGGCTTTAAAATCAAGGGGTTTGGCCCACTCCCGGGCCCGGGGCCTAGATCTACGGGACGGACCCTGAAAGGGTTAAGTTTGGGCCCCCTACATCTTTTCCCCATTCCCTAACCCCTCACTAGCCCATCGGTTTTCCCAACAGTTGTTTTTATCTTACCCTAAATTGCCTCCCCCTTTTAGTTTTTTAAACCTTCCCCTCTCTATTTTTTTGCTGCTTCCTTTTCCCCTTGTTTTCCATCTCCCTTTTTTACTTCACTGTCCCCAAATGCAAAAAAAGTGATCTGTTTAAAGCTGTGGCCCCTCAAAAACAAGTACACCCCGGGAAATTCTCCCCAAATCCAGATTTTTATTTATCTTTTTCTACCCCAACAAATTTACTTTTTTAAGCCCTATATCTATTTTGTTTTACCTTTACCTTTTTTTCCCCTTAAAATATGTTTACCTAAAACCCAACCCCCTTTCTATACAAATTTCAACAAATCCCCCCTTTAAATCATTTAAACCTGGCCCCCAAAAGTTACCTACCACCCCCCAAAATGCTTTTTCCTACTTTAGCATTTGGGCCCCTTTAAATACATGTAAAAGGGTTTATGCAGGCCTACCGACATCAAGGGCCCTCTACTATTTTAGAAAAGCCATTTGTTATGCAGAGAAATTTCAGGAAAAATTAGGTCGGGTTTTGCCCCGGGGAAACCAAACCCCCTTACCAGTTGACTAAGCCCGGGTTTCCCCAATTTTTACTGATGGGTAACATGGAAAAACCCAGTGTAAAAAACCCACACCCAATGTTTCAACCCTTCCCCGGGATTTCAAAACCCCAGACCCCCTCACCCTTTTAAGTGAGAACTTTTGCCACCAGCCCCCGGCCATCCATCGGGGTCTTGTTTGTCCTTCACAAAGCTTAAATGATTTTAATTTTTGGGGGGGTTTAAAAACCCCCGGGAGACATTTATCAAACTGGGCTTCCCATTGCTGTTCCCAATTAACAAGTACTGTAGTTATATTAGTGATGTTCTAGCTAGCAAATGAATCAAAATTCCGGGTTTTCCAGTTAATGAAGGAATTGTTAATAAATTTGGACATATTTTCTTTTTTTAATACACCACCCCTCTAAATCAAGGTATGGTTGCTCACCACAACAAAGGGGAACCCACATTCACCATCATTCA